TCCGTATCACTGGAAAAACTGGTCTTACGAGCGGACCGTGGCTTGCCACCTTAGTCCGTTTATCAACACCTTTTTCACCGTGTGGATCTCCATGACGACGGTACATACCATAATATCACTTATCAACGTCTTTGTCTTTTAGTATATAATCATTTTTTGTCTATTCATTTTAGTTTTCATTAGTTGTGCTCAAAGCCAGAAGAAACGTGGTGATTGCACAAGTGAGGAATATATAGGTGACGTGCAATCCTGTCAATTAATACTTGTACAAGACTTACAAAAGAATCCAAAGTCCGACTGCAGGTGACAATTGATATTGGAAAATGTGTTGTTTATTGCTTAAATAATTGTTGGTTTATGATTAGAATTGCTAGCTAGCTTTTACCTTATTTCTACTAAACAGTGGTGAGGCTTCCAAGTACTACGAATGCGCTGTAAAAACAATGAAGAAATGCTACCCAAATGCTGAAATAAGTGCTTTGAAAAGCATGATTCAAAGGACATTTACGGTAGATTTGCTATGCAAAGAAGCAGCTTTGCAGTTTCCAACGCCTTCACGGATCAATGGAACCTTTCCCTGCAAAATGGACCCTGCAGATTACCAGAAAGATGTCACGAAGTGCTCTGAGAAGTTGTTAAGTATGTGGCAAGCAAACAAAGCAGATAAGGGCACATGCGGGTCAGTACTTTGCTATAMCTAATAGACCTATCCAGGGGCGGATCCAGGGGAGGTGCTTTGGGTGCGAACGCACCCCCCCTTTTTTGACGACATATTTTTTAATATATAAGTATAAACGTTGTTTTCTGCAGTTTATACTCCTGTTGTACTTTAATCGAGAAAACGAGTAGCATATACAACATGTGTCTGCCCTTATGTTGCCTAACAATCTATTTGAGTAGCGTAGTCAAAGATACGTTACAATAAAAGTCAATTTGCTTCCGGTCAAATTGTGCATAATTTTCTTGCTCTAGACAATAATTATCAGTTCCATGTATTACTGACAAAAGCACACCCCCCCCCCCCCCCCCCCCCCCCCCTCATAAAATGCTGGATCCGCCCTTGCTATCCTACACCTGATTGGATGAACACGAAGCAATGGCTTCAGTTTGAGGCGAGCGTTAAATCATTTGCCTTTCACATGAAATATTAATTTATTATTAAAAATTCAATATCGCGTGCTTTAACTTTCAATCATGACCCGATCTTATCTGGTATCTGAACTACAGCTTATTTCCTTATTTCTTTATGAATCTATCGTATTTCAGTGTGATAATATGGGTACCATGCATTCTTGACGGCTGACGGTCTGACCGCGACAGTGACTGACTGATTGATTGAAAGTGGCTGCACGGCCTGACCAATTGACCAACTAACAAACCGACAGTGACTGATAGACCTAATAACAATGACTGGCGGACTGATAAACTTGACAGTGACTGGTTGAATGACAGCACTATTTTCGGTTATTTTCATTTAGCTGTCTCTTTGTTTATTTTGGCTATTTTCATTCTGTAATCGTTTTGAGGAGTTCTCATTCTATATTTATTACTTATAATATGGTTGAATAAAACTTGTGCAATTTGATTGGCTTAGATGAGTGGTATTTATACTTAATGGTGGTATTTCAAATTGCACAATTTTATACCATTTTATGAACAAATAATTGTGATATTTCGAATAAGCGTAAATATCATGATGATATTTCAAAATTGTCAATTAAAACAACT